AGCGGGAAATTTTAAACATTGATTTGAATAGGCATTGTAATTGCTGTATATCCTTTGATAGGTCGATAACTCTCAACAGTTTTCCTAAGATCTGAATATGTTAACAATTTGGCTGATTACTGCGGTATTTCGCGCAAGCTTATTTTTATTACTACTTAGGCCTCTTTTGAGTGGGCACTTTTTGGAGCTTTTAATAAAGTTGACAAGATGTATTTTCATGAACCTGACTGTATTTGTATAATATCCGCATTCGTTACACGTAAGTCTGCATCTACTAATCAATCGGTTTGTGCTTTCAATGTATACATTTAGACATTTCGAGCATCATTAAAAACTGTGCTTCCTTTTGCGAAATTTTGTTTTTCTAGTGCACTTAACGGTAACAAATCAACAGCAAGCTAAGACCAAGGTTTTTCTTGCTAGTGATTTTTTTCGTCTTTAGCGCGTTTTCTATAGTTCTAAGATCTATTGTTTCCTCGTGTTCTTCTTATTTTTTAATCTACAGGTAAAAAAATACTTTTCAAAAAAAATTATTTTTCTAATAAATAAGATTTTTTTAACATCAGATATTTATTTTATAAAGCCAACTGAGAGACAGGTAACCAAGAAAACAAGAAATTTTAGTCCGTTTTATAGTTTGACTTTATAGTTTAGCCTTTTAGTCATTTAACCTACTGTTTTCATCAAACGTCTTTGGTTGATATGAGGAGTATGATAAAGAGGAAAAGAAATTGAAAGTGACATAACTAATTAAGATGGGAAAAACTCTATAAGCGCTTACAAATTGCTGTTAAAAATTGCAAACAAAATACGTTTTTTTCTTGTCTTTATTTTTTCTTTCAACTTTTTTTTTTGGTATAATGTTTGTTTGTTTTGCTGACAGGTAATTCAAGTGGAGTTTAAAAATTTAAACTAGAAATTTTGTAGTTCTCTTAATTAACTCTGTAGCCGCTGAACAGTTTCAATTATTGCGGAACTGATCTTTGGTTTTTTGTTTGGGCAAAAAGGAAGGAGCGAAGTGAGTAACAATGGTTCTGTCAGACAGTTACGTAATTAAAAACATTTTTGTTTGAGCTTTTTTTTCTTTATAAATTTCGCATATATTTTTCTTTGTTGTAAGTTGATTTATTTGTGGATAGGATTTGGGATTGTAAGGCTCGAGATACTTACAGAATAGCAATTTCATGATGTAATTTTGTTCTTTTACAAAATTCTTCGTTTGTTTTTTCCTTACTTTTTCAATATATGCCTTCCTCCTACTACATTTTTCCTTCAAGTTTTCAATTTCGTATATCGCATAACTAATGCATTTGCAAATCGCTAATTTATCATTTACATAAGTCATATGAAGTATGAAATTACAGGTGTTTTAAGATAGTGGGAAGAAAAATTTTTAACACACTAAAAATTGAAGTGATTAGCAGTAAATTCTTTTATAGCAAGCAATATTTTTTGGTCAAATAATTCTTCATCTGTCTTGGTTTCAATTAACTTCCTGTTTCATCCCTCTTATTTCAACGTCGTCGACTTCTTTTCCTTTCTCATTCCTTCTAAAAAACCTTCTTTCGCATTCTTCTCTCTATAATTTTTCCGTTTTTTTTTCTTAGCAACACTTTATCAACCGTTTTTTCTTTGGAAACTTGGGAAGAAACCGCATACTTCTCGCGTATTTTTATGCATAATCTTTGAATGTGAATCAGAAGTTTACCGAATTTAAAAAAAATTTACAGGCGCAGAACTAAGGCGTTCTAAATTATACTAGTCAACTAGCGTTCAAAAAAATTCACGCAGGCCATTTATATAGTATAAATAGGGCAGAACTAAACAAACAAATAAGTAAGCTAAGGTTTTTGTTGTTCAGCATAATTACGTAATTGTGCAATTTTCCTAACTTGTTTTACCACTCTAATTTTATTTACTGCTTATTCTGAGTTAAGGCTTCTTAACTGAATTTACCTCTGCTACCGTCTTTGAGCTACGCACTTTTTTTGCTTAAATAAATTTAAAAAAGAGGAGATGATAATGGTTAGTATTGTATTCTGAATCAGCTGTCATTGACTTCTTTCAAATGAAGCAGTCGTGGAGACGACGAAGCGGAGGTTTAACTAAATGCGAGAAGTAAAGCGTGTTTTTGATGACTCATATTTTCAGTATTAATTAGTGAAGATGACAAACAACTGCAAATTTCTTCTCTTCTTTACAGTCTGCTGTACCTTAAAAATATTTATGTAATAGTAAGTGTTTTAAATGCTGTTATATTTATTTGAAGGTGAAATTTACATTGTGTTTTAAGTTATCTTCTGAAAAGTTAGTTTTTTTTTCGTCCTTTTTAACCGTTGTCATTGACCATTGGCCGGTTACTGATATAAATTATTACTGTTGAACCTTTAAGAGACCAAAAGTATTTTGCTATGATATTGGATTGGATCCTTATGAAAAACTAAATAAATTTGCTTTTCTTTTGTTGTTCTATTGTTATTTCTTCCACATATGTTCGTTCTCTGCAGGAAATCAGTAGCAAATTTATTAAGCCGAAATTATATGGATGCTGCGAGGGGAACTAGGTTTGAATCAACTGTTTGAGTAAAGAATTAAATTTCTTTGTCCAACAAACACAAATCCTGCTTCTAGCGTAAACCAAAATCTGTACCTTTAGTGGAGAGAATAGAATGTGTAGTAAATTTCTAAAGTGACTTTTTGCAATACAAACTTTCGTAAATCTTCTGAGCTAAAAGCGGTGTATATGTTGTAAGCAGTCTAAGGGAAAAAATTATGAGTTTGAAACGCACTATTATTGAATATAACTTCAAATAACAGTTGTATTTATCAGTTTTTTAACGGCAAAACTACATTTGCAGAGGTTCTGTTAGCAGCACAATAAGCTCCAACAACTAAAGCAGTGATCACAGAAGGCCAACCCTAAATTTGCTCGAAGAAATCAATAAAAGAAATCAACATATTTATTGGTATCTGTAAATTGTTCATAGTATTTTCGCTTTTTTTTAACATGCAAAAGCTACATATTAATTTTCGTCAAATCTGTTCAACAGTTTTCAGTTCAAACACTCAGAAAAACGGTGACTGTGGCTGATGATGATTCATCGCTGCATTTAACTATTTCTGACAAATAATAAGAAAAAAAAGGCAGTTCAAACGCTTTTTAAAAAGAAAAAATTGCATTTAAAACTGTAAAAAAATGGCATTCTTCATTCGTTTTTTTTTTTTGGATTATTAATACATTGCTTATTCTAACCCTTCTCTGTTTCTTTTTTTTTAAATGTACTGACTAGATACAGCTAGGTGTTTTTTAAACGACAATTATCATTTATGGAAAGACTAAGTAGAAAAATTGCAAAAAAAAAAAAAAAAGAAATTGAGTAAAAAAAAAATAAGAAAAAAGTAGCATACAAATAAATTATCTTTGGCTCAACGCTGAAAATAAAGAAAAAAGGCAGAAATGAGGGGCAAAAGTATTCCTGTTGTAAATTGTTGGGTATGAAATTACAACGTTCTAAGAGTGAGTCATAGCAAATGCGCGTTTTTGCGTAGATTGTGCAACAGGTTTCTTTCCGTAGATGCCCTCCATTTTCTAGATTTCCATTAGGATGACGATCATGACTATGGTGGAATTCTGAGGCTTGTTAATGTTTGGAGGAAAACTGACGCTCTAAATTCTTTTTTCTATCTTTTTTTGAAAAGAAAAGATCTGTTTTAAGTTAAACTGTTTTTCTTATTGTTATCGTCAAAATATCAGAATTTTCCCTAAAACATCAACGGTTTGCTGAAAACTTTGCTTGCTTGACGTGTATGGGTACGGAACAGCTTGTGAGAAATTTCACCAATTTTTGGTCGTGCTGCATTCAAAAACTTTAGTAAAATATTCTTTTTTACTAGTTTCGACTGTCGTTAAAAATTTCTTCTCTTTTATTACAGTTATTTCTCTGTTTAAGGTACTGAAAAGCCTATTTGAGACAACTACTAAATTTTCTATTTTCGATTATCTTCTGTTTGCCCATTCTTTTTCAGTGCTGCTCAAGTATATATGTGAAGTTCGTATTTAAGCTTATTAAAAAATTATTAGTGCGCATGTGCTTAACAAGTTTCTGCGCGACTATCGTTGGGCACAGCTTTGTTCAATTTCTTAGGGTCCATCGCTATACCCTTAACAAAAGCTTGACGATTACTCTGTAGTGACAAATTTGTATTATATTCATTTCTTGCTGAAAAGTCCACTAGAGACTTCTGTTAATGGGCTAACGAAAATTTATTTCGTTTTCTGAAAAAATGGCCATTTTAATTTTTCTAGACCAAGTGCAGATTTTTGCAGA